GGATACATCAGTCATCCACAGGAAAGCTTTGATCCTCACCATCCCCTCCGTCGGTAAATGATTCCATATGAGCGTGTGACTCGGCCTTCAATGACCTTGCTTGGAATCTTTTCATGGCAGACACAATGATGTCACATCAGGGGACTATAAACTAACCCTAAGTCAGTTGCTGTGTAGAATGGAGCCTATTGTTATTGGTGCAGGTGTGTTCCTGTTCAGAGTTCTGCTAGAGTGACTTAAAAGAGCGCTCTTTCATTTTCTCTGTCATCATCTTTGAGTGTTTGTTCCCTTAATGAAATGCCAGCTGCATTATCAGTCAGTATCTTTGCATTCATTCTTTACCAGCTGTGCTCTCTTTGTTTCTGGGGCTGCTGTAATAGTAATCCCATTTTTCTCTCCGTCTCTCTGCCCTGTATCATAGAAATGCAACTCCTACACTTTGAGGTTTGTGGACTCTGAGAACAGCAACTCAGTGTCTCCACGAGGCCAAACAGAGGGATGTCCTGTCTGCGCAGCCTCTCCTTCATATTTCAGATATGTACAGTGATTAACATATCACTCAAAGGAGCTCACTTTGACTGATTGTGAGAAAAAAAAGGCATTAATCGCAACGTCAAACAAATAAGATTAAGCTGGTCCTGGATCAGAGATCAGAAAAGAGCTCTGCAGCCCCCCCCCACCACCTCCACCACCTCTTTTTCTGCAAGGCATTTCCTTTTGTCCCCTTCTCGCTGGGCACTCCCAGTAGACAGGAAATTTTTTGGAGTCGATCCAGACCACGGCCTCCTTTTTCCTCGTTTTCCTGTTCTTAACTAAAAAATCTTGGAAGGAAGGTACAGTCTGTCCCAGCCTTACAGCCTGCACGTAAACAAACAATCGCCCTGTTCCAGAAATCGTTCCCGCTTATCCAGCTTCCAGCACTTCTCATCTGACGCTGTGTGCCTGTAATTATTAAGCTACACAAAAAGCTGCAATCGGCATGAGATAAAAAAAAAATACAGGATGCTTCATTAAGACACAAGATAGAAATGCAAAAAAAACCTAAATCCCACAAGAAATAATGTGCGTCTTTTTACACCACATTAAAAAAAAAAAAAAAAAAGAAAATCTGTTTCCCAGAATGAAAGCCACCCACAGTTCAACAAATGTGCAGAAAAATCCCACATTCCCGTTTTCCCACTGGGACAAACGACCCTCTGTATTGTTCACACAGTTACTCTGCAGCCCTGTGTCAGCAAGTTCAGAAAACTGTACACAAGAAGAAAAAAAAAAATCTTCTTTCCTGTAAATCTCCTCCGTGTGGCACCCAGATAGCATCTTACCTCAGTTCTATTCTGTTAAATTCAAATCCTGATTGCATTCAGAAGCAAACACTGAGGTTTAGATTGAAGATGTTTTATCAGTGCATTTATCAGTTGTCATCTAACAATGCCAGTAACTGTGTTTGGTGTACAGTCTATCTGCTTTATTACCTGTTATATTGTTTACAGGTGCTTTCATTTGTGACACAGAACTGCATACAAGTGGTTCATAAAAGCAGCTGGAACAGCCGGTGAGATACAACCTGTTTGCACTGAATTTATTTCCTCAATATTCACTTTTCTAGGTCACTGTGTCACCAATAAATTGGACAATGTTTTGTTATTTTGTGTCACCTGAAACTGTAGCTGACGGGGAAAGTGGGTGGCTTTTCAAAAGAATGAACAGTTCAAGTCAAAAGGCATTTCACAAAGTTGGCTTTCACGATTTTATTTGTAAAATGTCAAATTCAGTCACGTAATTCCCGTTTAGATCCGATTGAATTTAGTGTCATAAGTACCGAGACAACGAAATGCAGCTAAGCATCTAAACAGAAGCGCAAAAGCAGCATTAAAGTGCAACATATACAGTATGGATGTACACAGCATGTTACAATATGAACATTATTAATATAATAGCTGCAGATATCAATATAAAGACTGATAAATATACATGTACAGGAAGGGGGAAATTTAAAAAAAAAAAATCAGCCCACTACTGTGTCAGTAAGTCATATAGTCCACATCCCAGCAGTAGTTTATTGGATGTGTTTTATTGCTTTTCACTATCGCTGCTAGAAACTTTCCTCTCAACAGCTGGCTGACACACAACATGACAATACTGTAAATATGCTCTTTGCATGGTTATATGAGTGTGTGTTGGGCAGAGAGGGAGATTTCAAGGAGAGAGAGATAGTGGTAAAAGGGAGGAGGAGAGGGGAGGAAGAGACTTTGTTGTGGCTGCTTTTTAACTCCCTTTCTCAGAAATCCTGCCCTGAGGATGAATTTAGTGTCCCTTAGCAGAGCAGGAGATTCCTGAAGTGATCTGAGCGGGATTTATTCTTCCAGTAAGTCAGGGCAGCACCTGAAGTGTACATGCACACAAAACACTGCAAGATTCTGAAAATCATTTTGGATTATGAGCTGCAAAGGGCTCCAGTCTGTCTGTGTGTCACGTCTTTTCGAATAAACACGACTGTTTGTGTTGTTCGAGATCCGCTGTGACGATGTTTTCCTGTTTCTCGTGACTGACAGCCTGTGGCCCTGAAATATCAACTTCAAAGCAGCCCTCTTTCTGGATTAACTTGCTAATTGTACGCAAAGCTAAAAACCAAAAGACCTGTTAAAATAAATCCTGTGCAGATGTGAAGCGCTCTGTGTGAAAATGTCCACCGTGCCGTGTTGCATTTTTGTTTGCGTGACAGTGTTTGTATGTGCATGCCGATGTGAGTGTAACATTCTTTTGCCTGCATGAGCTTGTACGAGAAAAAGGCCCTTCTCATGCCAGCTGAGGTCAGGTCCGGACACCGTGGGGTGCACGCTTCTCCCGCCGCGGTGGGCCGAGAGGCAGGGGGAGGATTCCAACGCTTCTGGGAAACAGTCTGGGCCTAATTGGAGCCTGACTGGTCTCACATGTCTCCACTTACTGGAGGAGATGGAGGATCCCGCTGCCTGGCCTATGAGAGCTGCTGTAGGCCCAGGCCCCCCCCTTCATCAGCGTAACCACAGAAAAGTGAATCCACCAAGCGGGCCTGACATGACAGCACGACTGTCTGCGTGGTGCCGTCGTGTGTTTCAGTGCAGAGAGATCAGGTATGCTATACTGAGCTGTGCCCATTTAGATTGTGTTTTTTTAAATATTGATCTCTCTGGGGGGCTGTTTAATTGAAGGATCTTATTTTAGTGTAGCATGTGCGCTCTCCTCTGATATTTCAGCTCCTCACTCATTTGGGTTGAGGACTGATGAAACCTTCCCTCCTACTGCACAGTATACCGCATTCGTCTTCTCGTGCAACGAATCTCAACCTCAGAAAAACAGACATACACGTACACCATCTTTTCAAGTTTCTGCATATCCGCAGGGTAGTGAAAAAAAAAAATTAGAATAGTGCAGATAAAAAACAAAGACTTCCCAGCTGCTGCTGCTGCTTCACAACCACCACACGTTCACTTTTTTTTCACAGTTTTTTTTTTCTTTTTTCTCACTGTGGCAACATGCCTCTCATTTCCCATCAGCCTCGGTCACCTCCTTGGCCCCGCTCTGTAATTCTCAAAAACGTCATTATCCTCGTGTTTTACAGCAGCGATGTGAAATATTGTTTGAATGCAGTAATGCAAAGATGAGTGTAGACAATTTTCCAGTCACTTTGCTTTACAACGCACATCTGGACCAAACTGTTTCATAATTTGTACTCATGTTTTTGCAAAACACAGTGCAGGCGATGGCTCAGAGGTAATTATCATGCTAATAGGCACTGATTTATGCAGCCTTAACTTTAGGGACAGTTTAGTTTTTTTTATTTGCTTGCTGTTGTTTTTTTACAACTTAAATGCCTTTAATAAGTAATTCTCTTTGGACTCGTTGCCTTTTGTTGCTGACAGGTTAGACTTGAGTAGGTATTCACAACATTTTAAACCTTGAGACATAGATTCTACCTCATCACCACATTGACTCATTACCTGCTCACAGCTACAGTTCAGTCATTTCTACTGCAGGTGTCAGATCAGTTTAGCATTTATCCATCTTTGTGAATGTTTAGCTTGGACTTAAACTGGTTTACCTAAACTGCTTTGAATAGCAGTCTGCTTTGTCTGTAAATTACACATAGGAGATCCTCAAAACGAGACTGTTTTTGTCAGCAGAAAAAAAAAGTGCAGACTGTTCAACATCTGATTTTGGGTACAAAACCACCACAAGTGAGTTTTTTGGAACTTGCTGTTTTAACTACAGTCAAGTTAAAACAATGTGTACTCTCTATCTCAGTATTTACAGTTTACACTGGTCGTGTAAGATGCGAATAAGAATATGTAACCACTTTTCTACACAGGTTAGATTTCATGTCTCTTTCATTCACATTGAAGTTTTATATCAGCCACGCTCAGTAAAACAGTTCTCTTGACAACACATGTGCTCTATGGTACATATATCCTAACAATCTGCTGTTTCTCCTGCATGCCTGTTCCATTGAGAAAGTCGTTTCTATTGATTGCTTTTCCAGGCATCATTTAATATGATACATATTCACTTGTAAATATTGACCTTTCCCTGCTGCCCTAAACATTTGTGCCATAAATACTTTTAAAAGAACAAGCTTCAGAAAAGATATAAAATGTTATGAAGCTGTAAATAAAGGCTGGCTTTCAACAGTAACAGGAGATTGTTTTTGTGTTATTTTTTGTAGAGGGAGGATGTGGTTGGAGTAATGCAAACTCTGGAAGTGTTGTGCCTTATCACAACAGAGAGCATGACTCAATTTCAAGGCTGCCCTCAAAGTGTAAATATTATTCAAGATTCAATAAAACGTAGATTAATTAGGCAAAAACTTTAATTCATCAGCAATATAAAAATGCACATTATACTTATTGCATGCTGCAGTTCTGCAGGACAGTCTTGGCAGCAGAAAGTCTTTGAAGTCCTTGTGGCATACTGCCACCTGCTGGCGTGATTTTGAAACTGAGCTCAACATTAACATTCACAAAGAGTCATCATTGTGACAAATTTGTCTTTATTTCAGCTTGATTAAATGGCATTGATAGAAACCTTAAATCAAACATTATGACAGTATATCAAAGGAAAATGGTAAAACTAATAAGAAACAAAATGAGGACAAAATACCCACTATACATTTAAATATGTACAACTTTGATAAATAAACCAATACTGTCTAGAATTATGATTGTTTTGCATTTGTACTTTACCCTCTAGGAGCAGTGCGCTTAGAGGAGCAAAGGAAAAAAAAAGAGACCCAGGAAACAGAACAGGCAGGGAGCGTGGATTATGGACAGCAGGCACAGATGAGACAACTGTAGACGAGAGTAGAAAAGACAACTGCTTGATGCACAGCTCAGACTGCATTTGTAAAATTGTGCCGCGACACAATTTTTTTTTTTGCTTTTTGGACGCGTCACTGCTGCAGCGTGACCGTCGGATCAGCCGTCCTGTCCTCTATCTTTTGGTTCACTGCAGTACATTCCTGATACAAAAAGTAGTCCTGTATTGTTTCACATCAAACATTGGATCCTGAGACGGGGACAACCCTTTCTTTTCTAGGCATAGCTTCAATAATCCACACATTTATTTGTGCTCCTTTAAAGCCTCAACAACGACGTCATAAACTATATCATGACGTCAACTTAGATATAAACAAGCCGAAGAACGCAGTATTGTACAATGATTGGTGAGGTTGGGCTGAAGGCCTACCGTTAGAACGGTAACCCTCGACAGAGAACAAGATTTGAAACAAAAAATTCTATGCTTGATCAGGAAAAGAAAAAATGAACTATTGTCGCTAACCAGCAGCATTTCTCATCACATTTCATCTAGAGCGCCAGGCACTGTGCAGCAGTAAAGTAACTTTTCTAACACTTAAATAACTTTTGTATGATACAGTAATAGAAAGTGGTTTTGTGTTGGAGACAAGGTGAGAGCAGAAGAGAAAATGTGCAGGAAGAGAAAACAAAAAGGGGCTGACAGTTGTATTTTCTAGACAACCTAAGACCTCAGAAGCCCAAGGTGAAAGACACTCCGCTCTTTAGCGGTCACTAATCCCCAGGATGCATCTCTGGGACCTTCAGGAAATGAACATTGACAATCAGATCAAACGCTGAGACCCCGTCCAGACAAACAGACACCCTCACTGCAGCTTCACATACACAAAAAAAAACTCTTCAGTCTGGGACTCCGCCGAGTCTTTCATTCCTTGCATGGAGGTCGTGTTGTGAACAGGATCCAAGTCAACCTGACATGAACATTTTCAGAACATTGTAACAATCTCCTGAGTGGCAACTTGTTTTTTTTTTCTTTTTTGTTTTTAACAAAGAGGTTTTTGTTTTTCTATAAAATTATCAACAGTTTGCAAATGATACCCACCCTCCCTCCCACAACAGCCCCTCTGCAGTTTCTGTTGCGAGACCTTTATATTTTACAAAAGCAAACAAACAAAAAGGAGGAATTGACACTAAAAGCTGTAAAAATAGACACGTATTACCAAAACATATTAAAGCACATCAGAAAAGGTCTTTTCTTTCAGATAGTGAGGAATATTTTGGTTGGGTAGCCACACTCGGTCAGACCTGCTGAGTTAAAACGATGTGTGCGACGGGGGGACTGCATGAGTGTATGCATGTTGTGTAGGTATGCGATGTATATGGGAAGTATGATTTTTTTCTTTTTTTTTTCTTTAAAGCATCTTCAAAGGGGATTTTGCTGAGTTGCACAGCAAGACTCCCTTCCGGGCCTCATACACAGAGAGCACATACAAAGCTGTAAGAGAAAGAGAGACATTCAGACAGGAGGTTAGAGGAGCCCTTGGCCCTGACTCTTATCTAAAAACCCCAGCATGCTTCCTGTTTTTTCTGGCGCATTGAGTCCCAAAGCCAGACCTGGTATGCATCCTATAGAAATCCCTTGGAGAGGTCTGAGGCAGACCTCGACCATGGCCTCTGCACCAGCCCAGAATAGGCGAGCAGACACCTGGACCCCACCCCCACCCCTCCCCCGGCTATGTCAAGTGCAACGTTGGGAGAGCCGAGCAGCTCTAGTGCCTCTTCATGGACGACACCTTCTTCTTCCTCGCTGCCAGCATCTCATAAAAGGGGTCCCTGCTAATGGCTGCTCTGTTGGGCACAGATGCAGAGGAAAATGTCAGAAATTGCATTAAGCGTGCAAATTGATGCATCTGTGTGATTGAAGTCAGTATTCAAATGAAATGGTAAAACTAACACTTGTAGCGCTGATACTTTTACTATTTCTTCTGTTATCTTGCTTAGAGGAACTACTAAGCATAAACGGTAGCAAATCAAATGTCTGTCTGTGCCACTATGGGTACGTAACAGGAATGTGAATGGCTATTTCGGCACATATTTGTTGGGGAAATGTTGCCGTTGTCTTGACTTTATCTAAGAGGCAACTCACAGTCAGTGTTGTAAAGCCTTCTACCTAAAGCGCCCTCCATAATTATTGGCACCCCTGGTTAAGATGTGTTCTTTAGCTTCTTGTAAATTCAGTTTTTGTCTAAACAATATAGGACCACAATGAAAAAAAGAGGAAAATTCAACCTTTAATTCAAGTGGATGTATTCAGTGTGAAAAAAAATCCCACATTAAAAAATAATTCTTTTACATCAAATCATGTGTGTCACAATTATTAGCACCCTTGATGTCAATACTTTGTACAACCTCCTTTTGCCAACAATTCATTTGAGTTGAGTTGAAGGTTACATTTTTCTACAATTTTCAGTGTGAGAGTATGCTTCTGCAATAATTTATTTTAAGGCTTTTAGCACATCTTAACAGGGGTGCCAATAATTATGGAGGGCGCTGTAGTACAATGAGCCTTATGAGCAAGTAACAACCACACACTGTATCTATAAGAAGTAAAGAAAAAAAAACACTTACTTGATGCTGTTCATCCATTCCTCCTTCTCCTCAGCAGTCGGGGCAGAGATGCGGTAGAAGGTGTGGTTGCCCTCCACAACACGTCCGTCAGCCTCAGTCTTGCAGGCTTTTATCACCTGGTCCTTGTTGTCAGGAATGAAAAGCTCAAAGCAGTTCTATGAAAGTAAAGCAGATATAAGTTAACTTTAACAGACAGTATGTCTTAAAGAAACTTGAAAATGCCATGAATCCAAAATCCCTGTCCTGATGTGACAGTGTAATTCCAAAATGAACCAGTAAGGGGCGCTGTACTCACAGGCTTCTTATCCTCCACCTCCTTGATGCTCAGGTTCTCCAGCGGGATGATTCCTCTGGGCTCTTTGTCCTGCACAAATATAAAGTATGTATATGACAGAGCGCTGGGACAGCAGAAATGGAGCGAGCTGTGACTGAGAAACGGAGCTGCACTCACCGTGGTGTACTCAAAGTAGTATAGACAGTTGTCTGTGAGGATGAACCACCTCCTCTTCCAGGTTTTAACTCGTCCCCCTGTAGAGCAGACATTGAGCATCAGAGAGGCTCAGCAATAGAGAGACAGAGAAAAAGAGATAGAGAGAGAGAGAGAGGGAGGAGGAGAGAGAAACGAGCACCAAAGCACCGGTTCGAGCAGCAGACAGGCAGACAGATGTATGGGCAGACAGACAGATGACGGCTCCAGAGGACTCCTTTTATCCACAGCATCCCGCTATTCACCCTGAACCACCTTCACACCATGTGCTCCCCGTCACCACACCATGTCTTGACTTCATAACCACTTTTTCCTTTATCTTTACCTTTCATTTCTTTACAAATTACATGTAAATTAATTGCATTTGAAGGATCTCCTTAGATTATGTCTTCACATGCTGGAAACTGGCCCTGTTTTTCTTTTCTTGTTTGCTGACTCAGCGGGATACAGCTAGAAAACCAGGATCAATAGGACATATACAGATCTATGTGCCTTGCACTCACTGAACCTAATGATCCATCTAAATTAAGTTAATAGAAGACACAAACTTGGAAAAACTCAAATTAGTATATGAGGGTTGAATGTAAGGTGTAACTAAGGTTTAGGTTCTCTCCTATTTCACGCCCAGTGGGGGCTTTGGGGTTAACTGTGTGCTTGCTGATCTGTAGCTGACCTCTTGCCCCCTCTGTCACCCATAGTTCCTGTGAGAGGAAACCCGATCACAGATGCAGATGGCAGCCTTACTATGCTGGGGGGGAAGGGGGGAGAATGGGATGCCAACAAACAGAGCAGGGCAGGAAGCTCAGGGCCTGGAGCTATGCTCAGCTTCTCTACAGGCATCTCAGACTTGAATTTCCTGTTTGGGCTAAGTTAAGTAATTTCTCAAATATATAGAAGCAATTGTCTAGTTAGTAGGGGGATGAAGGGGGGCTTTCTATCATGGCATACAGACCTAAGCCTTGTCTAGACTTGGCTTTCCCACCACCAATGTTAGCAAAAAGCTGCATTCTGAAACCCATTTACCAACAGGCGACATTTTGAGGATGTCTCCGTACAGACACGTAGAACACACTTGCATTATCATATAACAGCATTAGAACTGTATATGATATCCTATCATGTTAAAGACATTATGATAGGTCAAACACTTGAATCTATGCTAAGTATCTACAGACAGTATTGACACGATTGATCTGCGGCTCATCACCACATCTTAACTCATCAGTGTGTTGCAACAGAAAAAAAAAGCAACAGATAACACAGACGCGATGGCAGAATCACACAGCTGACGGCCGAAGAGTTGATTGGTTTGAAGTTGTGATCGGTTTAATGACCATGTCTTATCACACCGAGGAAAAGAGAGATGACCTCCTCCCGTGCAAGAATTCCCGGGACGAGATGGGACGTCCCAGCAGATTGATGCAGGGGTGTGTGGACGGTGCTAGGCCAGAGTGGAGCTGAGTGGAGGGAGTCACCCATGCAAGACGGGACTGTAGGAGGTTGGACGAGTGGAGGTTGAGAGGGAACAGGCTTTCTTGTAAATCATTTGTTGTTGTTTACAATTTTATCATTCTTTTGGAAATGATTTAGCTCAACATGATGAATTTACCAAATCATCCCGAATCATACTCAATTACTATTTTCCCACCTAATTGTTTAATAATTACTTGAAAAGATGCACTAATTACAGCAATGCATGACCACCATGCTGACCACTTTAAAAATGCATGAACCATTCGAACAATGCCTGAATCCCTTTCAGCACACTCCTCTGCCCATGGTTCTCTCCTACAGTTTGGGCCAGTCTGGTCCAGCACCACACCAGGCCGTAGCCACACTGTTACTCTTGAGATCCATTTGTAGCATAAGATTAGGAGAGCAGCGCTACACTGATAAAAAGGTGCAGTATTCCTTTTCCATGAAACCAGAGAGCAAACAACAATTTTCCACTAGAGTAAAGTGGCGCATGATTAATTTTGAAGGACAAGAACAAGTCTTTTGTTGTGCTCGCTGTATGGGAAAGGGTATAATGCAGTTTCCAAAAAAAACAGAGATCAAAGAGAGTGACCACCACAGCATACAGAGAAAAAAGGGTCAAACTGCTGAGCAGAGCGGTCACAAAGCGCCAGCCCCCTGAGTTGAGCCCACGGGGTGGCAAACGCACCCAGCAACTGCCCAACAAAGATAAAAGAGTGTGGACAAACTGCCAGCTCAATGAGAGACTAAACAGACAGACACACATCTAAAGATCAAATGAGTCAATGAGAGACAAAATGTAAAAAAAAAAACAAAAAAAACAAAAAAAAAACCCCTGTATGAATGTAGTAAAAAAAAATGCGGAAGAGAACGAAAGCATGGCAGACCACCAAAAGCACCTGAGAGCTGAGAGATGAACTAGCGTTGGGGAAGAGCAGGTGTACATACCTCCTGAGGAAAGACAACAGCCAAAATCATGGGAACAAACAAACAAACGAAGAGGAAAAGAAAACATAAAAAATCAAATTAAATGATAGGGAATTATAGCACCATAGTCCTTTTAATCTGGTTCCAGTGAGGCTTTGATGCACTGCTTCACAGCTTTCATGATCAACACATTCTTCTCATCTGCTGGTATTTATCAATCCACAAGAGGGAGATCTACTCAATGTAGACTGATGCAAGCTACTGTAAAGCACTACATGAAATATCGCCTCCACTTGGGTCCATTTTCGTTATTTTAGGTGATTGACCTTCCACCCTGATTGTTTTTACCTCTATCCGCCAGTTAGGAATCACTGGAGAAAGAGTAATCTTTCACTCCTTTGGAATAGCCGGTTGTAAAGATTCACTGCAATTGGACGATTTGATTTCACTTCACACATTCATGCTTTTTACCAAATTCATTGTGAATCTCTACAACAGAGAGAAATCTCAGAGGAAACAGAAGTTGAAGGGTTGGAGCATCCGCGGTTGTGCTTTTTTCTAGTAATGGATTTTTACCTGTAAACATGGTAGCTGGAAACCTGTGGAACATTTCTAATGACATTGGTATACAATTTTTGTTGTCCAAAAATATGGCTGATTTAGATAGTAAAGACCATCAGAACAAAGACACCCTTTAAATGTCACAAAACTCTGATAAAATGTACATAGGGGGAACAAAACGACATTGAACATGTAAAGACATCGTTTATTACAAAATAAATCTGTATGTGAATGAACTTAATTTGCAAAGTAGGTACTTGTGTGCATGCGTGCATGTCAAGTGTATGAATATGCCTTGTCTTAAATAATTGAACAGCCTCCACATGTGGTGGTCTGATCTCAAGACCATATTCATAATAGATTAAAGCAGGCAGAAATGTCTTCAGATGTCTTAGGACGAGGGTGTACACACCTATTCATACATGCTCATAGGCACCTTACACACACACGCACGCACATTATTAACCTCAGGGGGAGACACTGGTCAGCTGGTTGTCCATTAAATATGCTGCCATAAAGACAAAATAGAATCATCTATGGGAATAGCAATAAGGACATAAATGCACTTGCTATGTGCCCAAACAACTGTGTACACACTGTATACTGTCACTCACCCAATTTTAGCAGCCAGCCCTCTCTGTCTGGATTGAAGAAAGTGTGTGTGAGGTCGTTGCCGTCGTCTTCTGGAATTTTGAAAGGCTCGTTCTTGATGCTCTCATACAGATTCTACAATAAAGAGAGTTGAACGTGAATACAAAGTATGTTTGAGATGAGAGTGCGGGAGAGGGGCACAAGAGAGAAATGACAAGAAACTTAGTTTGGTACTACTCACCCTGAGCAGGTCTTCAGGTAAGTCTCCTCCATCATTTATGCCTCTGTTCATGGAGATGAATCGTTCCACAGTTGGCTTGTCTTTCACATTCGGGTTGTGGAGGCTGGTGTTCAGCATGATGATGGCAAATGACAGGATGTAACAGGTGTCTATAACACACACAAACAGTGATCGCACAGTGAGGTAGAGATGAGGTTTATGAGATAGTGAAAGGCTGCAGTTCACCATAAAATGGTGCCAGTGTTTAATGTTATGTTTAAATATGAATGTAAAATAGCTGAGCTGAAGGGACTGCACTTTAGGGACCACAGCCAAACAGAGAGCAACAGATAGATGTCGCTTTGTTGGCGAGGACAAAGGGCCAGAATAAAAGACTGCACGTGGGAAGCTAAGTAGGCATGTGTGTTTCTGAATGTGCACTCTAATGTGTGTGCATGTAAGTTAAAAGAGAATGTTGCCAGAGCACGGCTGACGCAGCAGCACTTTATAAATGCCGTTAGGCTGCTGAGAAGTCCCATGCATTATTCACATCCATCTGCATCCATGTTAGAGGCAGTCGTCTGTCTAGGAGCATTATTTCTCAAAAGCCAGACGCTCTCTCATGACATAGTTCACCTCAGCAGACTTTGTGTCTGCTAAATAAAGCCATTTAGATATGAGTTCTATTGACATGACATTAGATCTGAGTGCAGTATTTAAAATTGTGTGCTTCATGGACAGTATTGTTTATCAAAAACAATCTGAAAGTCAGAATTAGTTGTTACTATGAATTGAAATTTAAATTATAGTAACATTATTTCTCAATACTATTTAAGTGAATATTTTTTCTTTTGGTGTCACAGCTGAGACATTTATGACTACTGGGTGTTTTATTGACAGCACTGATGGCTGTACCTGTGGACTGGAAAACACCAGGGTTGCATTGACAGTAGCGCTGAGCAAATGCCTCCATCATGCGGTCAATCTTCTGGGCTTCTCCCGGCAGCCGAAAACTCCACAGGAACTGTCTGTCAAGGGACACAACAAGGCACAACAGTCATCAAAATGCTCACTTCCACTTTTTGAAAAAGTGGAATTTTGTCTGTTGTGGTACGAGACTGAAACAGCACTCTGCATCCTTACGAATTGCGCATTTGGCTCCTCTTGAAAAATTTATTTGATCACACATGATTTGCATAAAAAGGGGGCAACAGCTTTGAGGATATGGATTACGAAGCAGGTGCCAGGAAGGTGCCTTACCTTAGGGCCTGAACCAGGTTGAGGTCTGTGAACTCATGGAGCTCCACAAAGGCATGAAGGACCTGGATATTGAATTCATCTCTGAAACAGACAAAACAAGAGTTTCAAAATTGATATTTTGCTTTCACAAGGAAAAATAAACACGCTAAAGCTGGAAATAATTATTTGTTTGTTTATCAATTAATCTGACAGTTATTTCCTTGATAGATAACTTTGTCACCCTTTCTCCTCCCAATTCTACTTTTTCTAATCACAGTCCAAATCTTCAATATATTCAATTTCCTATCATGTAAGACAAAGAGACACGCCTGGTCTACACAGAAAACAAGCTGAACATTGTACAGTAGCACAGGTTTAATAACATTTAGCATTGTTGCTGGAAAAAAAAAATAAAAAATTGAAATAGACACCATAATACCAAAACAAATAGAGTAATATAATAATTGTTGTAAAATGTCATTATCTTATATTAAACCTATACAAGTGAGTTCTTAGGAGGGATTTCATGGTTACTAAGAAAGATTTAACTGTGCTTATGCTTTAGTGGTTGGTCTCATTTAAAATGTAAGTGGACCAAACAGGAACGTGTCTGAGGACATCTCAGCTCACATGGGCTGAAAAGACCTGTGATACAATAGATACTCCCAACAAACCCAACAGAACGCACACCCCCCACCCTCTCTTACTTATCATCTACACTAGATCATGACATCATCTGGGGCCTTTATGCCCTTCAGAGTAAGTGATCTGCCCTGTGGGATCATGGGAAAGCTCAATGGAGAGCATTATCCAGTCACCAGCATTTCCAGTGGACAAATGACCAATCGTATCTCAAGTCTCCCCATGCTGCTGTGACCGCTCTTTACAGACTGGAAGAGCTTGATAACAATCAAACAGAGAGCATCCATCAACGATATGCACTGCATTTGGTTGTCTGACCTTACAGACCACACCCTGACTGTAACACTCCTGGCCCTGTAGTCCCTGAGCTGTGAACACCACACATCAGATCCATACCTATTTCCTGTAATATGTCTTCACTTTATCACAAGATCTCTGCTCTCGAGTGAAATCTTTAATTACTTTCAAACACATGCATTCCCAAGTTGTGAGTCTCTTGATCACGTTACTTATGAATGAGTAAGATAATCAAAGACATATGGAGGCTATTGAGTAACAGACATTGTCTCAAGAGGACACTCTAAATGTGGAACCAATAATCTGTGTTTGGGAAAGGATGGGCGTGTGTCTGACCAAGAGGAAACAGAGCAATAGGGAAAGTATGCGCTCTCTATTTGATGCTTTTATCAACCACATGGATGAGTGCTGGAGAACGATGATAGAAAATATGAGCGGGAGATGGTTAGAAAGAGGAAATAAAAATCTTTTTCCTGACCTTTCTCCAAGGTAATCTCCAATGGCTGTTTTGTTGAGGCCCTCACCCTTGTAGAGAAATTGAGCAATGTCATCGCTGGTATTCTTCAGCAAGTCATTCTCAATCAGGAACTGGATACCCTGAGAAAGAGAAGGGCCCCAGGTTACATCCTGCTTATGATAAAACATGAGGGCCAAAACATATTTCTGAAGATTCACAACAGTTACTTCCACCTACCTTTTTGGGGTCCATGTTAAATTTTTTACGGCCCATGGCCACCTGTTTATTCCTCTGCATATTTTTCCTGAAAAGTAAAAGCATATACTGTCATTCGCTGTACTTGACAAAAGAACATAGAAGAACATATTTGAATTGCAGGTGTATGGATGATGTATTGGGGCTAAAACTTACAAGTAAGTCCCATTATTAACTCATCTGTTGATTAGTTTATTTGACAAATCAACAACATAATTTGTGTCTAACATGTCAGAAAATGATGAAAATGCTTTTCAAAGTTTAGGGCTAGACCAATGAATAATATTGACCATAATATTAAAAAGTTCTCTTTTAACTAAACACTACTGTGTATCAATTCCAAATATCAGTTATCAGCCTCCTTGATTACCATAATCAGCATCGATATCGGCCTTGAAAAAGCATATCGCTAACCCATAAGATATACATTAGTGTTTTAAGAACTGAGAAGAAATTGCATCAAATTGGTTAAGGTAAATAACATCACATATATCTATAGTATCTATAAATTTAAAAACTAAACCATAACACAACAAAACTGAGGCATTTAAATTATTATTTTTTGTTAGTACTGGCCTTCTATATTCCATAAACGGGTCAAAACTGAAATACATTCAAGTCACCATTACATAGGACTAAGAAAATCAGCAAATAGTCACATCTGAGAGGATCGAATTGGTGACTTGCAGCATTTTTGGTTATTCATTATTCATACAAATCACATGTTAATCCAACAAATGGATGGTCCATCAACTGACTTTTTCAGCAAGGCCCAGACCACTACGGTAAATGTATTCACTTTAGCTGAACATTTTTCATGTTTGGGCAGGGGCTGGCCTGTCTTTCAGCTCAACTGTTGATGACAAGGCATTGATCAAGCAGATATGTCAAAAGGTTAGGGCATACATAGGAATGTCTCATTTCTCAAGTCTTAAGTAATTCATCAGTCAACAAGTAACTACAAGCTACCCATCACCATGGTTACGTCTCCATCCCCAATCGTTGAGACGTCATCACGTCTTCCCACTAATTCACTCACACCAGCATTCCTTTGGCTTTTGTCTGTCAAAGTCCAGCAATCATCTGAACAGCTATAACTCTAAGTCTAACTAACTATCATTTACTGCCTTCAATAAATGGATCACAGAAAAATCTGTTCACAAGAAAGCATTGTAACCCTTAATGGCTTTTAGATGCCTGTAAAAGAGTGCTTCAGAAATTTTCGGTAGCTGATGGGATCCCTATCCACTTGAGTAGACCAAACCCGAGCGCTCTCTCCTGAGACCATCCATTGTCTGCTTCTGCCCATACACCCACTGCATTATTCAATGAGGCCTCCCATCATAGGGGTGTGCCTAATGAAACATTTAAACGGCCTTAAAAGCATAGCCAATTTGGGGAGGGGATTTGGTGTGATGGGAGGCCCGACTTGGCCATCAAACATGAATACTTGACAGCTTCATTTGCTAAGTTAATAGAAGACCAGCAACAAGCCAATTTAAACTCAAAACAGAGGGAAATGTGTGTGCAAGGTAGGGCAGTCAGGTCCCACTTTCTTACCTCTCCTCAGTGGAACCCAGGTTCTCAATCTCACTAGTCACTTCTGCTATCTCATCCTTTAGCCGCTGTAGAGAAAAAAAAAATATTAGTCTTAAAATGTTACAAGCTTGAGAAGGGAATCATGTGTCCACCAATTTTCCCTGACGCCACCGAGGCGTGGAAGGGTGTGACCAACACAAACAACAGGCCAAGTATTTGTATAAAAAATACGAGAGCTCTATTAAACCATGCAGAGGGACAAACCGACTCACCTGTTTGCCGGTAAGCCAGGTGGCCTTTTGTTATGTTACATAAACACTTACATCATAAGCAACAGCTCAGCAAAGAGATCAGAGTCACTTTTTCGGCTGTTGATTAACTGACACTTCAGACAATAATTGTCTCTCTCCAGTTATTCTTTAAATATACAGTAATTATAAGTATCATCTCAGACAGTGTGTGTGTGCGTGCGCTCTCTCCCAAACAATCCTCTCAATCTGAATTTCATCGGGTGGAGAACATTCAGGGATAACCTCAATATAAATGGAGTAAGAAAGCGTCGAAGTGGATTATATTTTGTGCGGCATTTTAGTGATTAATGGCCTTATGGGCAGATTTAGTTGATCAAGCCAGGGCCGCTGGTGCCAGTCTGGCGCACTAAGGGCATTGCAGATGGAAGAGGATAAAGAGGCTCACATCAGCTTGATGAAAGTCTAAAATCGCAGACTGTAACATAAGAGAAGCCCTGTATACAAATACTTTTTCGCTACTGTTGGTCATGCAAGGCTTCTATACTTCAAGTAAAGGTTATCATTATCAAGCATATTCATTCATATCTTGCCACAGACTTAAAGTGTATCATTTTTCATGCGCAACACCAACTAACGAAGGCCTACACCACAAAGAGAACATCTGTGTTTTCAAGGCCTGCGCAATCACAACACATTCCTCAGATGCTTGCCTCCGCAAACAAAGGCTGTGCTCATACAGCTAAGACGGTGGTTGTCATACAGGGCCTTGACATGTAGTACCAGCAAAGAAGGGTGTAGGATTTAGAGAGGAGGAGAGGGGTCAGTATGCAGATCAGTGAGGTGAGGGGGCGAGTATGGGGGCAGTAGTGGCAGCCATAGAGGGGGGAAGGGTGGCGACGGTGGCCCTGGCTCATAAAAGAGAGGGTGACGGATCCCGCCTCCAGTGTCCGTCAGGGCCACCGGAAGTTGAGTCAGTCTCTGGGGCATCTGGAAGTCAGCTCCCTGAGTGGACGAGGCAGTCTGTCTGTCCTACGAGTTATTTGCTTATTATTGTTGCTTACTGAGTGACAGGACTGACCTGAGCAGCTGGAATGATCGTTTGTGCTATGGGCTTAAGTCAACAGCCAAAATAAAAATCATCATGGGCCATGGACAGGAATCAAATAAACTACTTTAGGAAAATTCAACAGATCTGATTTGAATTTCTGCTCTGTTTGAAAATCAGGAGGGATGTTCTACTGGCTGTTTGCACACATACAGCGATAAGAGCATAATCGTATTTTATCTGTATGTGGAGTCATTTGCTTGTCTTATTTTTATACTCATGTTACACATATAAATAGAACACTCCATAAACAGAGGTCTCTGTTAACACAGCATACCTACAAAGCAGGAATGGCTGATTAATAAACAGAAACAGCACGCTAAGGAAGTGACATGACAGGAAGTGTCTTACATTCCATTTGGGGTGAAATGTTCAAAGGGACCTTTCCTTGGAAAAGTGGAATTTGCACCAAGGTAACAAATCCTGGATTAGAGGTAAATGTTTATTCAAAAAGCAGATGAGCTGCAGTTTTGGATTGTTTGGATAATGTCAAAAAATCCTTCTTGCATTCTTCAACTTAAGCCCCATCATTTTAATACTTGGATCAGTTCACATTTTATCATGTAGCATCTACTGCAATGTCTGGATCCAGCTGACAGTTTGTGTAGGGCATACAGAAGCGTAAAGCCTCAACGTTGACCTTGCATTTTTGTTTTTTGTACCCGTCTGCTGTTTGGGTGCATGAAGATCTCTACATGCAATTTTAGAACAGCCTAATTGTCCTCTGCCAGCATTACCTGAATGTCCTCCAGCAGCTCTTGCTTGCGCCGGCGGATATTCTCCAGCTCCTGCTGCTCCTCTGGGGTGAGGTCTTCTGGCACTGGGGAGAAATAACAGAGAAGGTGAAGGGTTAGGATACCTTTAACTTTTTCTTCGCATACTATTCCTGAAGCATATTCCTAAGGGTAACTCTGAGCACCAAAATAGCATCTAATATTCCTTCATATCAAAAGGTGACTGAAAGTCCACAGTAAGGCACGTAAATCCACAAAGACTGTTGACATGTTTTTCAGCAGCAGCAGATTTATAGTCAAAGCAAAAGAGAGGAGAAGAGTTATGTTTTTTACACACCCTTACAATCATTACAAACACTAAAGCATGCAAAACACCTACACCAACAGTGGTCCAAGTCAACAGTAGTCAAAGTGCGCTCTAAAGAGGACTGAACCTTTGTGTGACAAAATGAAAAAGCTCAGGTCAGCCAAGCAGTGCTGAGCATCAGTGCCAGAGTAGCAAAAACTGTGACAGGTTTCAAAGTGCTGCCCGTCCTCTTGTCACTCACACAATAGGCGGTTATAATTAGCTTTGTCTTTGCCAAGGACTGAGGGACAAGCAAAGTGTCCTAGTTGATGGACACTGTGCTTATATGACTGTGTGGGCAAACCCCACCTGCACTGAAAGCAGAAAGGGACACCAGCAGTTTCAGCACTCTAATCATGCCAGCAGTCCAAGCATGGTCTCAGTTTCATTTACTTTATCACTGTACTGGAAGCATTTTAATTTTCATGTGTTCTCTGTTGTATTTAAGAAACAGTCACAAGTTACTACTGCATCAGAACTACCTGGTAAACAAACCAAGTATAACCTCGAAATGAGGTCATAATAGCTTAAGTGCATCTTGTCTGTTTACTGGCCACTAATATAAAGGCATAAATATAATATGCAACATTCTGTGCATTATCAAAAACCTTTGTTCACTTGCTGAAGAGATGCGGCCCAGTGAAGTACTCAGTAATGATTCAGGAGTGATAAACACAGGTTGATATTCCACTAAAAGTACAAATAATATACTGTTGATATAACTATTCACATTTTTTGAACACTTTGACGTATTACTTGAACTTCCAGTGAAATTATATTCAAAAACACAGTGCAGTCTGAGGTGTAAGACAAACTATTTGGCTGGTATCCTGCAAAGTGCTGCTTGCACTGAAATAGTCTTGCAGTATCACAATAGTGAGTATAGTTAGGATGCGAGGCTGTTTCTCTGATTCCCCCAGTGGCCAAAGACAAGCCCGTCCCTTCAACCTCTGCTCCTCCCCTCATTCACCAACAGCAGAGTTTAAAGGTCAAAGGGGTCGAGGAAAGGTTAAGTCTGGGGACCTCTGCGAATGGTTAACTAGGTAATGGTTATCGAATGATGGAAGCTGAGGATGGAGGAATCTTCAACCTAAGGTCTTGTATTACATTCATAGCTCTCCATCATAGAGAAATACAACTTTTTTTTTTTCTTTATTCTGCTAAAATGTACAAACATAATTGTGAATTTGCAGGACAGTTTTCAGTAATGTGTCAGTGGAATAAAGGCTACAAAAGCTAAGCATGACACAGCAATCAATAAAGCAAGAATACAGTCAGCCAGCCCTGTAGAAATGATGTGCGTCACTGTGCTTAAGACACACAAACATATAAACACACAGTTTCTCAATTTGCAACAGAAGACAAACAGCTTTCCTGACAAGACAATGTAATACAAATGTAAAATTGTAGATAAAATCCGATTTTGGCTATCCGACGTTTTACATATAGCCTGCAGAAAAAAAACTAGTCATGATTAGGGTCACTTACTTCAATAATAGAAGGCATGTGAACCTAAACATCTTGAGGCAAATACCCATGACATTGACTGGAATGCTAATATTTAACAGGGATAATAGACAATGGAAGTAAAAAACAGAAGCCTTATGGCAGGCTGTTGAGAAGCACCAAAACAAAGCCATGTTGTGTTTCCGTCTTGTTTTCAGACAGCTGGGGGAGTACTCGAGATTGACCTTTCACACATCATACCTCACAGCCTACAGTATCCCTCACGAGTCAGCCTCATCCATACCAAGTGTTCTGAGTATCCATGGAAACTATGGTTAGATTTGCACAACTGTTCTCGCATACGAGGGGGAGCTGAGAGGATAATGCTGAGCAAAGACAGGCACAGAGATATATAATTGCACAACTTCTTTTTTTATTTGGTCAGATTGTTTCCCCAAGAATATCTCATATCAGGGAAGACTTGAAGGTTGTAAAAATAGGTTGTGTGATTCACAGAAAATGCTCAACTGCATGCACACATGTAAAAGTGCTGAAAGGTCCAAGAAGACATGGACCTCCTTGCATTTAATGACCCCATCTCCCCATCGACAGCACGAGTTAATGTCATGCTGAGAGAACCCAGAGCACAAACACAAGCAACAGGGAGGGTGAGCTTAAAGCTTGGAGTTCATTCCTCTGTCTGGAGACATGATGTCAGGTTGGGTGGCTGGTGGACACTGAAGGGAGTCGCACCACACAATGTAGGACAGCAGGGCCCAAAACAACCACAGCATTCCTGGCTTAGAAGGACACCACAAAGTGAAGGACTGACAGAAGAGATGAGCTACAGAAAGGACTATAATTTGACTCCAAGGGGCAGACAGAGAAAAACTGAGCAAAGTAATCATTTGAGGATGGAAATTGTTTGTTCACTTGCCTCGTTCAAAAGCACAAGCAAGCAGCTTGTAGAAAATCAGAAGGACAGATGCATGATGGCACCATGGCCCTGCAATTAAAGGGCAGGTTTTCTCCTCAAAGGCCCACTCAGCCTCCCCACATGTCATCTGACATCACAAACATGATCAGAGTTACTCAAGGAGCTAATTGGCTACACCCATCACTGCCGTCCTAACTCCACCCAAAATATTCAAGACCACATCAGGGAAGGGAAAGGCCCTACTCACGCTTGTGCCAGAGGCGGGCAACAAGCGGGTGTAATTTCCCAGAATGGAGCAGATGAGGGGGAGCCCATCCACTTAAGTAAATGCTGAGAGCTGCTTGTTTCTCTTCCGTCCAGGAGCACGTCTTGGCTCTCATTCAGCAAACCTTTGCCCAATGAAATAGCCAATGAAAAGTGGCTGTCATCAGAAACAGAGAGGGCAAATGAAGAAAAGAAAGAGTGAGAAGAGCATCCGTTTCTGTAAGAGTGAAAGCAAATTATATCTAATATCTTAATAGCATAGATTTTCCTATGCTATTAATATCTATCTTTTGGTGTCAACTTCATATGTGAGAAAATTAGATGTTTTACTTAATATTTGCAGTGTGTACATGTACACTATTGCCCATCTGCCCTGTCTAAATCTGACTTCAAGGACATCTCAGGTGCAGACGTTATGATGAGATTTCCACAGGTTAAAAGAGAAACACAGGCCACCCACATCTAGTTCATTGTCCTTTACGGACTCACACTGACTGGAAAACAGATCATTTAGGGGAATTACATGCACATTCACATGAAGATGTGCAAGCAATGAGTGTCGCGGTGCACACAAACCGGGGTATAGTCACATTACCTCACTTACGCACACCCATGGATAACACCCACATACTGACGCCCAGGACTGAGTGTCTGGCACTGCGTCAGGACTCAGCAGCTTGCTTTTTGTTTCACCTTTCAACACTAACACCATGTGACTCGAACTGCCCAGACAATTACAGTATATCGCTACAAAACTGTTTAGACACTTTGTCTATTCATTTTCAATAAAACAGATTATTTATTTATTTTATTTATTATGTTATTATTAAACCAAAGTCATTATCTTAAAACAAAGCAACACACCAATTTCAACAAAATAAATTTGCATTATAAACCTAAGATAACCCTTCCTGTTAGCAAAGAATAACACACTGAGTGTTTACTGAATAACTTGTTGGGGCCAAAGTGATTTGAAATCTGTTAGGTTACCAAAACAAGTGCTCTTTTTCTAAATCTGAAACAGAGTTTAGTCCAATAGCTTGCCTGGTCCTCATTACTCTAGAGTGCTGCTTAATCTAAATTTATGACTTAACACTTAACGCTTGCCCTTTGAGAATAATTTGCCTTCTCCTGAATTAGTGCATCTTGTTTCTTCTCAACTACATTCTACAGTATATTATAAACACAAAACTGTAATGCCTTCTACGTTTCCAACTCCCTGATGCTGTATTTGAGCCACAAATAATGCTTAACATTATTATTGTTTTGACTGTGTGTGTCCTTATCTTTTGCTTCTAAGATTGTCTGTAGAATTCCTGGATGGGCAAATCAGTTTTTAGTGCAGGCTGGGTCAGCAGAGAGCACAGGGGAGGTGACATCAAGGGAGATACCAATTATAGTTCCCTCTCCCACAGCAGCAGTGCCCACTAATACACATTCTGATTGCCATCCTAGCAGAAGAGGCAGACGTCTCATTTCCACCCAGATCACTGAAAAACCCTCTTTGGAAAATAAGGAAATTAGAATCCCGAGCACTCGTGGATCTCTCGTCCCCCCTCCCTGCAGATGTGACCCAATTTAAGAAGCTCCTCTCAGCGAACAAGGACCAGAAGAAAAATAAAGCAGGAATCGTACATTAACTAAATAATTTCACCACCTAGACTGCCCCACAGCGACTGGAAAAGATCCACGCGCAGGTGCAGTTAAACAAAGCATATTGAAGCTCAAATGGCACAGCTTAGCGTAACACCAGGTGTCTCCTTATGTGTTTTAGGACAGAAAATATATGGTCATTTTGCACCTAAATGTGGAGTCTTGATGCTTTGCAGCAGCAGACAGAGACATCAGTGCACATATTTACATCACAACCCTGCCTGCGATCTGCTGACTTAGAGAATATGCAAAGAGACACACATCCATTCCTGGAGCCACGTGTTTGTGTGCCTGTTCTGATTAGACTTCGATGAAGTGCATAAAGTGACAGATGCAAATGAATGACACTGGTAGCAGCTATTGCACCTTGTGCGAGGTCCATCATATGTTCTGTGTCTACAGTTTTTTCCTTCATATTTTTGCTGAGGAAACACCGTCCT